GATTATTAGCGAAATATACTTGGCAATCAACAGAACTTTTAATAATAATAACACAAGTGATATCAAAATCTACTTAAGCTAAAAATACATAATATTAGGTATATTATTTATGTGTCATATGAACATTAGATCTTGTTACATAACACCTGTGATAATACCTCTAATATTATGATGCTTGGTTTCTTTTTCAACGAGTTAAAAACTTTTGTTTTTGTCATAACCGCAGTCTACAATAATATTACACTGATATTTCGTGATAATTAATAATATACTATATCTATAAATATAATCATCACACCTCAGGGACTCTTTTCCTAGGTCATATATTATATTATGAGGGGCATCGCACCCTTTTTCCGAGGTAACCTAAAAAGTCCTTCAGGGTGTACCTAACCTGGCTCGGCCCGAAGGCCACTGTGAATACCTGCGCTGTTTGCGCCTTTACGGTGACCGATCTCTTCCAAACCTAAAAAACTTTCTTCAAATATAATTGTCGTTTACTGCGCCAAACATAAAACATTGTTTTTTATTGTTAGGTAGCAATTTATTTTCAATAAAAAATTCAAGCTTAAGCGTCGAGGATCATCGCCGTCACAATAAAATACAAATAATACTTGGTTCATAATTTATTCTAAAGTATATACACATTATTATTGTGAGTAATAGCTAATTATGACTTATGAGTAGTTATATTGCTTAGAAAAAATGATAATATATTATTATATTATGTACATGCACAAAAACAGGCTGTATAAAATAAAAATATTAAAATTGATATGCTCGTTTGAATATAAAGTTAACACTTGGAGAATTTATTAAGAAAAAACAGCCAGGTACATAATTATAATATTATAATCGAACGTCTTTGAAAAATATTATGTAACGTAGAACACGACCGAATAAGATAATTAATAATCTGATTGCTTTCAAAAAAAGGTTATTATTGGTTGATATTATGTTGTATTATAAACTTCCAATGTCTTTTGTTTATTTTGTTCATGTTATTTCATTTGCCACGTCATATAAAGTATATAATTTCTTGCCAAGTAAATTAATTATTGAAACAAAATAAGTATATTTTAATTAAATTTACTTAGCATTCATTTATGATATCACATCTTTATAGTGCTTTAAGATCTGTTCTTTTTACTTTGCCGTTCTTTACACGTAGTTAGACGAAGTGTTTTTGTTGTGGTTATAAATGCCCATAAAGGTAGACTACAGGTAGTACCTGTTATGTAATATTTTAAGTACAATATTGTATAAAACACAATTAATTAACTAATGATTAAAATTAATACAATAGGCTGTTGTTTTTTCGGAACAAAATGGAATACATTGAATGTTTTTGACAACCACATCGATGCAGACCCCGAATAATATTTTTATGATATAACAGTATATTCAATTATAGGTGTTACGAGATTCGTCAGCACAGCACTATGGTCTCTGAAACAAAAATTTATAATTTTGTACTAGAGAATTCCATAACTAGCAGTGGTAAACTTTTTTTCCTTAACTCACATTTAATATTTTTACAACCATCCAGCCTAAATATTTTTCGCTGCTCTCGCAATAGTGAGTTCATAGGTTATTACATACTAGTCATTAAATAATGGTTAAATAACCTTCCAAAATGATTCAAACGTCATATTCGTTCCATTTCCTATAGGAAAACCACCCACCAATTATATTTTGTGGATCACGTGATTCAAATATACCTCCACCGATCCGCCACCAATGCCAAATATGTCTTATAAATCGTGGTATCGATATAAAAAACACAAAAACATATTTATTTATTTATTTTTAACTTCACCCTACGATAACATGGCTTAATTACCAACATATTATTTAAACTCGTAATTTATTAGCTCACACATTATTATGATTTTCATTTTAATAAAGAGGTAGATACGTAACCAAAAAAAAAATTCCAATCTCTACTTTTGCCTAAAATACAGTACGAATGTAAGATACTATAAGATGACACACACTTCTGAGAGATAATAAATTAAAGATACAGTACAAATAAGCAATAAATAAAGTTAATATAATTTTTTGTACAAATACTCAATTTAATACCATAAAAGGCCATGATAGAAATCGAAGTTTTCAACTTTGTTTTCAGGAAACCAATATACGAATTATTTGACTATTTAACACAATATATAATTACGAGTGTTTAAATTATAATAGAAAGTAACAGAGATTCTGGCATTAAAGTTACAAAACGCAGTGGTAAATGATTACCAATATCCTTAGGTACTTTCAATATTACTGTTGTAAAATAAAAATTACTTGGACTCAAGTGGGTGAAATAGAGAGCATATTTTTAATGTTCTTATAAAATATGAATACAGTAGGGAAGAAAGTATATAGTGAATAAGAAATTATAAAGGTCGTCAGATATGTTCACACCTAATAACAATGAGCCGGGTGCGAGATGGGTTAAAGGATACAATAGTCCGACGGGGTGTCCGTCTGCCTTTCGTGTTGTGTATCAGACAGTTATTCTCGTTTAGGTATATATGTGTGTTAAGGTGTACGTTATTCTAAAACTGTTTTGATACTGTGCCTACATATAGATAATTTCATAAGAAACGAATATGTTATACTTACCTTTAAGACTATCGTTGTTGTATCTCCAATTGATTCGGAAGCTGATGCTTCGATGGGGTCTGGTTCGTTGTTCGAGGGTACCATAATAATATTATACCAACTTGTTGACTATGTGTTTACCCTTTTGGCATATTGTCGAATTATGAGAGATGAGATGAATGGTACCTTAATCTTAAGCAGAGTTAATATTATAATTTTGGAGTGACCTATTGAGGATTTTACGTAAATTATATTATATAGGCTTTTGATTAGGCAGGATAAATACAGAGCATCCGATAGGTTAGGTTAGGTTAGGATAGAAATACGATTTCAATAATATGATAGTGATGAAAATTGTAATCATATTTCAAGACATTTAGTAATTTGAGTGTTTTGATTACAAGAATATAAGTATAAGATATTATATATGTAGACGGAGAGTGCACCTAAAATACACATACGTTTAATTAATTAGTTTGTTGAAAATAAAGGGACATAAAGGGTGTCACCGATTTCCCATTTTTGGGCTTGTACGGTATATTTGTGAGCTCGGAGATGATGGTCTACTTTTTTAGTCAAAACGATCGATATAGTTGGAGTGAATTATATCCTTTTGGTGGTCATGGTCGGTAGGGGTGTGGTAATTTTTTAATATTTTGGTCTGGCCTTATTGCTTGAGAATGTTAGGTATTTTTATGTGGTCTATTATTCTTTTGTTTCATGATTTCGTAGGGTGGCATACTGGCATACATGTAGTGTCTGGTCCGTTGGAATGTGTCTCGTGTCTGAGTCACTATTCGAGGCCAGTTTAAGGGTGTATATAGTATATTTTATATTAATGTTCGGTTGTATTTGTTTTTTAGGAGCACACATGTGTTTTATTAAAATTTTGCAAAATATTTTTTTATATTTTTATATTGCATTACTTTTTTATATAACCATCAAGTGTACTAGAAATTTCAGCTAAGATCTGGTCGATATTATTATATCAATCTCATAATAGAGATGATGATTGACGACCAAAGCTACGATCCAACAGCAACAATTACCCGAAATGCTTTTGTATAGTTACTATTCCATTATCTATAGGCTACAATATATGTTAAAGTATTTCGTACCTACCTATAGGTAAATATATTTAATATTTATCCTAAGAAAAATGCGATGTGACTGCTGCTGCTCGTATATTATTTAAAACTAACTTGAAGTGCTTGGAATGACGACTATTCTTACGGCTTACTTCGTTAACTCTAGCAAAATATATGTAATGAAAGGTACCAATAATTTGACAAGTTTTTTAAAAAGTATATTTTAATAGTATGTAAATCGATATTTTTTTATTGGAGAATTCGTATCTCTTGCACTTCAGAATCTTATCCTTTAAACTATTACTAAACGCATAATGTTATCTGATAGTTGATCAAATTATGTTATAATATATATTTTGTAGATTTTCAATTTAAAAAATGTACCAATTTAATATTTAAAAACAAACCACATGTTTATGTTTTAATAGTTAATACCTATTGCCTATTGGTTAAGGGTTATATTTCTTGGGAATGCTTAAATTGTATATTCTATACTTAATAATGACTACCAAATGCTTAAAATATTACTCCACAGTAGACCTTTTTATATAATGTTAACCGTTAGACAACATTTACTGCAAAAAAAATTGTTCTATAAATGTAAAGGTAAACTATAAAGCTATAAATTTTCGTATAATTAAAGCAATAGCTGTATACTTGTGTGATGATCGCATGTACACGTTTTGGCTTTTTATAGCTGCCTGTTTCAACTTCTTATCCCTAAATATAACCTTAGAATTCTCCAATGGTGGGCAAGTTAATGAAAACTATTATTTACTAAGTTAAGTGAACGCAAGATCATTAAGTTAAAAGTGAATATAGTTAACAAATAATAAACTTAACTCGTTAAGCTTATAATTAATATGGCAAACAAGATTAACTTAACTTAGTTTTATAACTATAGTTATTCTAGTTTTTTAATTAGCACATGGGTCACATAAAGAATTAACTTAACTAGTTAATGTCCACTCTTGGAATTCGCATTAGTTCACTGTATATACTATAACTATATATATTATAATATTATGCTCATGGCTTACAAATGCTGTTCTAATTCCAATACTTTTATATTATTCACCTTCGTGTGATTATTATAATATTATACGCACCGTTAATTTGAAATGTCGAGGAATGATGATATTAAAATCGCCGGCAAGATCTTATCCTACATTGTATTATAAGTTCATACACATCAATCCTAAAAGTCCAAGGTCGTCGTTCTGATTGTTTTTTTAAATTTTATTTCACAAACATTTTAAGTATACGTGATTTATTTTACCTAATTTACTATTTGCATTTGTTATTTTCCAGGTCACTTTCGTCGATCCCGCCATTATGAAGCGATCCTACACCATAATCTTGATGGCCTCGCTGTCCTTAATAACAAGTATGTGCCCTTTGTAAAAATGTCCATAGAACCATGCACCTGTCCGTAGTGGTAAACGCGTTTTTATGTACACGCACATGTATATATATTTCTCCAGTAATAAAATATACTGTTGAGTCAAAGGTCCATTAAATAGGTCAAATTGACCATTGCGTGCAGCATAAATGAAAATCGTGGGTTTTGCTGTTACAGGGTAGCACCCCTTTCTACCCCTCATTATTATCCAGCACACCACGTAAACACATTATTCTTTTTTTATTTTATTTTCAACGAATTACTTTCTTGATGGCTTTAACGCCAATGACGCGTTGTTTTATACATACAAAAAAAGTAATTTTGTCTAGATTTTAGCTACAGGGGTTAATGGGTATTTCAAAAGTAATTTAAAAATGATAGCGAAAACAATAAGTGTGTTTTGTATTTTAATTTTATAACGTTGAATCGAATGTAAAACAACTAAATATTGACTGAAGCCTGAAGACGTGTAAAAAATAAGCAAGTTTATTTATAAAATTATTAAAATTATTTACAACCATAAATTGAAGTACAAACATGATATACTAACATAAGACAACAATAAGTTATTTTTTAGTAAAATAATACTAATATTTTTACATTTTTTTTACTACCTAAGTGCTGTATAAGTTCTAAAGTATCATTTATTGATTTTGCATAAACTAATGACTCACCCGAAGTCCTGAACCCTTTTAAACCTTCCTAACCGTTCTAACGGTTGTAAAACCTAACCTAATATAACTTTTATTTTATTAATCATGTTTTTGTTTTTATGCATTTTTATGGTTGAAAAATTACAATTTGAATTACAATTTTTACAATGAAATATATTAAGATCCAAGTTTAAATTTTCAATTGATAGGTACAATAATTATTAATAGGGCGACGAGTTTCTTTTTGAGAATATATTAGTAAATTAATTATGAATCATTTTTTTTGTTTCACCGGCGTATTTTATAACTTTTCAAGTAATTTTGTTATTACCTAACCTCTCAATAGTTTATTGACGTACTAAAAGGTTTTATGGCACGACCATGTATTTACATACATCTTGAAATTTGAGTTCAATAGTATTATTATTACTTATTAATACATATATATTATCTATAAACGTGAAAAAAATATTTTCGTAATGTATTTTGCTCTTTAAGCCAAAAAATTTTAAATGGCTAGAACAAAGAATTTCAGTGTATAATTATTATTAAATAATCTCATTGTATATACTGTGAAGTAAATAATAGTAAGTTGTTAAATAAATATTTAAGTCAACATAAATTGTGTTTCAATAAAATAAAGTGTTTATGATAATAGTAAATTAACAACAATTTATAATTTATTAACATAAAACAAATAAAATAAATTGATACTTTTTCAGCTACATGTAACTTCTAACATTCGTCGATTATTTTAATTTTATAAATTTAATATTCTAGAATGTATTGTAGTTACTAATCTATATAACCTTAGTAGTTGATGCTGTATCAAGAAAAAAAATGAACGATTTGAAATAATTTATGTTTATTTGAACACGTTATCAGTTATTCAAACATAATCGAACACAAATTGATCGACCAAATTACATTTCTAACAACACTTTCCATTCGTATACGTCATGACTATAAATCAGTTGTTACTTATTAGTTAGAATTATTATTTTTCTATAACACGTGCATCGTACATCCGTAATTAATAAATAACAGTGTATATTGTACCTATTTATTTTACAGTCATTAATTGAATTAAAATTGCACGTTGTTTGACTTAAAATCTAAACAAATCCTATATCGTCCTCTGTAAATAATACTATTATCTATCAAACCAATTATTTTACACTGTTCTTTTAATTATGCATGCATTTCTATAATATAATATATATATCTAATGTTTACTGATCAATATTAAAAATTGTATTGTTTGAAACGACGTATTAAATATTCAAATAATGCACGGGAATTTAATGCCGACAATGGTGGATTGGATTATTAGCAGTATATTATATATAGTCATGCATGTAAATGATATAACGTCGAAAACTACAAGACAATACACATAGCTGAGTGTACTCGTATACACAAAATGATTCACCATGGCACCATGCTGAACGCTATTTTTTCCTTTAATAATGAGTTTATTCAAATCCTGATTTTAGGAATTCTCTACTATTATACTTATTGACGATCGTCTTATTTTCAAATATTTTATACCATGTTGTGAGTGTCTTGACATCTTGTAGAGATTTTATAACTCCTTTTTCCGAATGAGAATCGATTTTTATCCTGTAAATTGTTAAGTCTATGATTTTGATAGAAAAATATTGATGTATTCAAACCAAAATTCGGACAAATAGCTTTTGAGTTATATAACTCATTTATACTAAGCATGATAGGGTCGTATGATCTAGGGATTATGATTATTTGAATAATTTTTGCAATTAATTTTAATCTATTGACGTTTTATATTTTGTAAAAAATGTTTGAGTTCAATAATCACTTAACTAAATATCTGTAATATATTTTATAGTTTTTTAAACCCATTTTTAAATACTATTCTCATTTGTATCTAACTTATATACATATTTTAACTACTCAAAGCTACTAGTTTAAATTTTGATTTAAATACACCATAATTTTCAAAAAAATTATCTGCTTTATAATTTCGAGTTAAAAACGTTGATTCTATTTTGATAAAATGAAGTTTGCATATTAACACAGGACACTTGTGTAAAAAATCTTTGAACTTTAAAATAAAGCTATTAATAGTACACTAGAAATTCAGAATTTTTATTATAAACTTATGTGTACGTACATAATAATATAATATGAACTTCCATAAAAATCCACACAGAAAAATAATTATAATGATGTCAACATAAAATGGCGAAAAGAGTGTCATTCGCTACAGACGTTGTGTGAACTGTGCATTCCGCCTTAATTTCCACCACCCAATACATTTCATTTTAAACGACTAAACGTCAACGAAAACGTTTGTGTTTTAATTTTTTTCTCCTAGACCGTACAGCTGTGTAGAAAATAACGTAATAATAATATGTATGTAAATTGTAAATGTAATTATAAAACTATATAACTCCACATTAATAGTATTTTTAATTACTACGCGGTAATGTCGTCGCCGCGTGTGTCCTATATTTGTATGTTGTCAAATATTTTTAAAACAATGACGTGTTTTCGGCGATTTACAAATTCCATGAGAGTGAAAAACATTAAATATCTCATCGTGGTATTAATATAACGCGTGTGCCAGCCTATTAATCGTACTTTCGTACGGTATGCTTGTAGCGCAGAACTAAAAACAAAGTTTTCATTCAAATTAACTAAAATGCTAATTTCAAAAAATATTAGGTACCCATATATTTTTTAAATGTAAAATCTTGATATGGTTGTAATGATATAATTTTGTTCTCAAAAAAATTGATATAATATTTTTTTTTTTAAGAAACACATAACAATACCATATTCGTTATTAAATAGGTACTTTTAATTTATTGTACATTTTATTATTTTTGATAAACAATTTATACTATAATTTATTATTGCACTCACTTATAAATTACCTAATCAAATAGTGTTTCGTTTAAAGTTTAAACAAATCTTATAAGCGATTATTATAATATACACATCGATACATCTTAAAATTGTGTTAAATTATAATATTATATACTTATCACATCGAAAGATAATGTTCAAATTTCAACTTTGTTTAAAATAACATATTATATTACATTACAAGTATTATTTAACTACTTGTTCACTTTTGGTCGCGTGTTCAGAGCTCTTGTATTTTAATGATAGTAAATCAAAATAATTTATATCTGTCATCTATATAAATATTATATACACACGTTTTATTGTGGCGATGAATTGAAAGTTTCACACTTCCCGAACAATTGTCCCAAAAGAATGAATGAAACAGGTTATTTTTATAAGGGTCGATAAACCCTTAATGTTAAGGGGTGCATAGGTACTCTGAAAAACAAGCGTCAGTATCATATTTTAACATATAATATTATATACACACTATGTAAGTGCTTAGAATTCTGCACAACCGGCACGTACTTGCACCAATTGTATGTGTGTTTGCATTGAAAATAAAACAATAAAACTTATACATTATGTCACTCATTTTAGTAGGTAGGTAACTCTATTTTCGTTTGCTCTCCTCGGTCACGTTGAAAATCGACAATTTGGTTAACTATTAACAATTTTTTGTATCACTATAACATGCAAACCTTACAATTAATAATACTCATAATTAAAATTCGTAGTATTACATTTTTAGAAGTATTGGTTAAGAAAATTCACACCTTTTATCAGTTAAAAATTAAAAATATACTCGGTTAAATAGCTAATTTTGTAGGGATTACGATTTACGACTTAAAGAATTTACTGAGAATTAAAAACAAAAAATGTATCAAATTCGGAAATATATTATGTGACTAAAATAATTAAGAATATAATTTTAAAAAATCATTATTATTTTTGGTTATTTGTACAACAATTTCAAATGAAAAAAGTCTCATATCGTACCTTTTTTAGAAATAACAATTAAACAGATAGCCATGTATGCACAATTTAATATATTTATTTAAAGTGGTTCTATAATTTATACTTAATACATATAAATAAATAATTTGTAGTAAATACACTTATGAAATGTTAGTACATATTTTGTTACTTATCAAAAACGTACAAACTACTCACTGTCTTACCCCATCTATTAAAGTACCAGCTGTCGCTGTGTCAAATTTCCAATCAATAGAAGCTAGGAAATATAAAACTTTTGGAGCACCCTTTTATCCAATATCGTGTTTACCACAAACAAAACGAATTTAAAAAAAAATCCAAACATTGCATATAAAATGCATGCCTAGTGCGAATTGAAAATGTATAGAACTTAAAATATACTATATCCCACTACACAAAATAATTTCAAACCTTGTTTATATCAAACGCACTTTTATGGCATTTTTGTTTTTATTTTTTCTTAACTTTCATATTATGCCTACCTGCAATGACGCGTGTCGAGCGTCAGTCGTGTATAATTATGATTACCATCTCTGTCAGCCCATGATATTTTCATTTATGGTAATAATACTCATTGTTTATCGTTTGCAGCCGAAGCCGCTCACATGATATACGCACAAAACTGTGGTAAAGAAGAGTACAACCGGTGTATCGCTCTGGCCGACCCGCTGGTGAAAGATCCGCATTTCATCTACCCGGGAAATCTAAAGGACATCGATAACATATGCCGGTAAATTATTTTATTAAACTCGTCGCAATAGACATTTCGCTTCGTCTACAACGTATAGTGATATCATATTTATATTTAACTGTTGTTTTATATTCATATTTGTTAGCACTTGGACGCTGTTCGTTGATTGTACAAAGCGGTACACCGAACATTGTTTCGAGGAGAGCAAACGGAAAGTGTTTAACAAAGCCGTTGAAAACTCTATCGAACTGGTCCATCAAATGTGCACGTCGCCTCAATACCAGACAGGTTGTTGATCCGTAATAAATAATAATATATTATATCGCCATACAGCAGTGTCTCGACGTATGCACGAATATTATATAAATCATAATAAAATACATAATAATAACGAAAATCCGATGATATTAATCTTGTATCAATATTTTATGTTAATCTTCCGTTAAAATCTTTGATCACCTAAATTGTATTTTCTGTTTTTATATTTATTAGTGTATTAATAATGCAACTCCTTTTTGTATCAATTAAGTGTACAGATTTATTTATTAGTTATACTACGGGTTAATTAAATTATTAGTAGGACTCTGTCAGCTGTTTAGTTCGTTAACCTACCCATTTAGGGCTTTGGCCAATGGTCCCCCTTTTTAGCCTTAAAATGTAATATCTAGAATTTAAAATATTTAAAAATAAAATACCACAATTAAATTTTTTTTTAAACGGTCCATTAAAGTGGTCGCCATTGGGTGTCTTTTATTTTTCACTTGTCTTATTTCAAAAATCAATGTGTATATATATATATCATCACACATGCTTATTGTAAATTATATATTACAATTTTTTTATTTTAAAATAAAGTTAAAAGAAAAAAATATATGTGTGAAAATAAAATGTACACAACTTTTTTGAAGTTTTGAAAGTACCGAGTATTCAATTAATTATACTTTATAATTTATTTAATTTTAGGTTTCCATAGCAATTATAATATCATGTAGAAGATAAAATTTATAAAACTTTTGTTTTAGAGAGATATTGTAGTAAACTATAGATTAGAGTTTAATCATTATAGACTCCTGGCCAGAGCACGAGTAGACTCAGTGGAGTCCAGTACCTAATTATCTATTCTTTTCTCATAGAAATCAAATTAAATTAAAACTGTTATAACTATATTATATATTTCAGTATTTGCTGTCAATTATTGTCTGTATTTTTATAAGCTATCATATCATGTTCGTTTTTCAGAATATTTGAAACACGCTTCGTGTTTACGAACCACACTGTTTGACGACTCACGTTGTGGGAAACACTATCGATCTTTGGCCGGATTCATCTCGAACGATACCAGTGGACCCAGTATTTGTTGGTAAGATGCGACATTCGTTTTCGTAGACACGATAAATTTCGAAACCAGCCGACCTATATTAGACACAGAATAAAATACGCGAGACGCAGTGGAGTGGTTGCAAGTGCGGTGATTGTCTGCTCCTACAAAATCTAAAATAAAATAATACAATTTTAAATAAACCCCCATTGATTCATACATTATACATTTTTAAATGTTAAAAGAATTACCTATTTCGATTACAATAATAATAGGTAGTTATTATGTATCATTTTAATAATAATAAATAAATTTATACTCAATACTTCCCTGAAAGGCGATAGTGAAATATTCAATATTTCAGTTATTTTTTATGGTAAACGTTTATACAAGTCATATGAAAAACTCACTCCTTTGTACATTATTAATATTATAATGCATGTTTATTTCATTAAGTAAATATTATAATTGTTAGTAAATTTGAAAAACTGCTCATTGATTAATATTTTTGGCTTGGTCACTGAAGTGTGTCATAATAATTTTATTAACGTGAGCATATTATTAAATACAAATATGACACTAAACTTTGTATAACAGGCACGTTGTATTGGGATCGGGAGCGGTTAGGAGGAAAAATTAAATCCTCACTAAATATTTTTAAAAAAATGTTTCATAAAGATATTATTGATTATCCCGATTGACATCCATGACTTTTATAAAAATCTATGTCAAACAACGCTTCTATATGGAGACATAATATAGAAATATTCATACGATAAATTAACAATATTTTATTTATTAACGATAAAAATATTTTATTTTTTTAATTATGAATTTCCCACTAATTTATTTTCTATACGTACGTGCCTAGTGCAAGTTATATGTTTCCGTCATCTGTTACCATCGCTCTTGTTAACCAAAGAAAATAAGTTAATTTTATACTACTGCAGTACCTACTATATCTATATAAACAAGCTGCTGTTATGATTTTGATTTATTTCATAGCCAGATTGTTAAAACCTTTTTTTTGGAATCCTGTTTTCCGATAATTTTGTTAGAGGAATAATATGGGAAAGTATGCGACTGTAAAAACCACCAACTGCATTAAATATGTGTACAACTGTCCCTTTTGTGCCACACACCTCCCCCCCCCCCATATTCTCCTGAGCACGGAATTCCAGCCATACCAAGTGGCCGACAAGCCTGTTGCCTACACATTATATATTATGCAAGTAAGCAAGTTTAATAATGATGTACTTGACATGTTATTATATCTCTTACGGGAGGTCCCTGTCATGTGTGACCAGTGTCTATTATGACACTATGACCGTATCGCAGTGATGTTTTTCATACTATCAGTACCCGATACGTGTTAAGATAATTTTACTAAATTATGATGACAATATTGGTCAGAGGCATATAATTTTAAAAAAATGCATAGGTATATAAGTTTAAGCACCGTGACTTTCTAAATCTTGTTTTCAGTTTCATTTACATAATAATATAATATAATGTGGCCGCGCTCAAGCTATTTCTGAATGTTGTCACTGTTTATTCGGTATTCTTGTTCTCTTGTTAATATAAATCTAACAACATCAAATACCTACGCATTGGTATAATATAACGGTTTTGTAACTTTCGCGGTGTATTTTTGCAAGAAAGATGAAAATCGTCTAAAAAATCGGGTATATAGGACGTTCAATATATATCCAGATTTACATAAAACATTATACAATCAGCCAAAATTTAAATTTCTAAGTCGTTGTACTAGAGACAAGTATAAATAAAAAAAATATATACGGACATAATTTATAAAACAATTAAAATTTATTGTGAAACTGTAGTGTATTCCCCCCCCCCCCCCCCCC